TATATTGATCTAACAAAAGGCAATAATTGTGAAGTCATTTCAAACTGAGTGTCCCAAAGCCTGGTAATCTAATGTAAAATCAGTAAATATCTTCATTGCACAAGTCAAAAAGAAAGAAAAAAATAGCTCAACAATTAAAACAATGAGCTAGAGTTCCTGAAAAATTTATTTTATGCTGTTATTGTTTAGTGGTCCTAAAAGAAAGGGGAATAAGTTAAAATTACAGCGGGCAATTTCAAAATTCTGCTGTAATATATCCAAATATTTTAGCTTCAAGAGGTTTATATATCTAATCTACTTCATAACAAAGAACCTATGTTCAGGTGTTATACTAATAGAATCGGCAAGGCCGGATTATCCTTTAGGCTAGTATAGGCTGCAGCCTAGGGCCCTTCAAGCTTTTATAAAGTGATTATAAAGTAATGATTTTAATTTTCTAGATGTTATAACTTCTAAATAGTTTCATAAACTGAAATGATATCAATATGACAAACTTGTATTTATTTTGATTGTTTTATTGTTATAATGCTGATTACAAAAAAATCTGTTTTTTGTTTTTTTTTTTTTATATTATGGTTGTGTTGAAATATTTGCTAATTTGGTTTTGGAATAAATAGTAAATAATGAAGGTATTTCTTAATGAATATTTTTTATTGTCAAAATATAGTTATTCTAGTTTATTTGAGGAATTTGCAATAAGTTTACTTCAAGCTACGTAAATGTCGGTAAAATATATCACAAGTAAAAAATATTCAAGACAGGCAAATTGGAGGGTGGCTTTGTTGGGAAGGGGGGGGGCATATTTTCATTAGCCTAGAGGCCTTAAAAAGTCATAATCCGGCCCTGGATAGAATCAGCATTTATAATTCAATGAAAATGTTATTTGATCCTGAAACTTAATAATTTTTAAATGTTCAAAAGGAAAAAAAATTATAATTTAAAAAATGTAAACTTTTTAAACTGTTTAAATGATCTAAAGTTTTATTCAATTTATATCCAAGTAGTAATGTTATTTATTAATAAGCATTTTATAATGTCAGTCATTATAGCACTTCTTTCATCATAATTTGCAAATTAAAATTTTTGACTCATCATTGCCAGTTTATTTATCCCGACCATTAATTTCATCTTTGGCTTTTCAATAATTTGAAATTTCATCAGCTCTACTAGAAACTGCTTTAAGAATGTATTGATCAAAACAGTAAAATCTCAAAGAAACAAAAGATGATTAGAATAGTCTGAATAAATAATTTTCTCTCTTTATACTTAATCATTTTTAAAGTCTAATGAAATAATTCCTATAAAAAAAGACCATACACATAAACAGCCTCCAGTTAAAAGAAGAAATTATAATTAGCATTCACAAGTTAATTTAGACTTTGCACCTTATCTATATTGTTTCAATTAGAATTTTTATAGGACAGGTTGGAAATTCCATCACCCTGTAGATACATGAACACTTTGTTAAACAACATGCACTTGATTTGTCTATTGAGATGAAACTTGGCTTCATTTGGAATTTTAAGAACTGCTTCTATAGAGGTGAATCAATAATTCCATAGCTTGATATGTTGTTCTAAGCTAAATTTTTATCTATATGATTAATATTCTACTGAATTACATGCATTGAAAAAGGAAGAGATTATGTTGAAAAAAAAAAGAAAACAAAGAAAACAATTGCTGAATAAAACAAATGCTTTTTATTCATCATTCAACTGCATATGAAAAAGCTATATTTATGGCATTTGGAGCACAGTCTCCTTTACAATACTATATTTAATAGATCACAAACAGGTAAACCAGTAATGTAATTTCAAGCAGCATTTTCTTTTGGATTGACAAAATATATGACTTGGCTTTCATTAACATTTATAAAACTCTGGAAAAGATGTATTCCTGTTGGTATAAAAGTCGCATTAGAAAATATAATAAATAGCCTCAATAAGATGGCAATTTGAATCAACCTGAGGTTACTCAGTGATTGTGATAAAAAAGGAGTCAACTTTAGACTAGATGATATTAATAAATTGTGTTTTTACAAGGTAATTTTGAATTTAACAAGTTGACAAATGATATTATTTAACATATAATAATCACACTCCTTAGAAAAAAATTAAGTTCATTGAGAAACTGTGATAATACAATCTGTTTATTACATATCAATATGTATGTGGGTTAAATAGGATTTCTTTTTGAATTGACGAGTGTCGATAAGAAGCCAATTTCTGTTTCTTGAGTTCAAATAGACAAAGCAGAAGAATGCCTGCATTTTTACAAAGTGTGTCACAATAGAAACAAAAGAGATAAATGCTAAGAGATAAAAAACAAAAGAGATAAGGTTAACAGTCTAAACAGCTATATGAATGCTATTAGATTAAAATTATAAGGGGGGGAAGAAAGCATTCTCCCATTGCAAGTTAGTTATAAGCAATTATATGAATTTACATTATTCAATATGACATTCTCTCTTGGGTCCCCATGATAGTACAAAAGTGCAGTGCTCAAGTATGTAATATATTTGGAGAATGGAGAGGTAAAAAAAAAAAAAAAGTTTAATTGAAATAAAATGGCTGCCACATTCAATTGAGGAAAAGTGAAGAATGTGAATTGGAGAAAAGAAAAGCTTAAGAATTGTGAGCACCAACAAGCAAAAGGGATAAAATAAGTGAGGGGTGGGGGAGATATCAAGTCAGTACATATTTTAAACCAAAGGCATAAACTTAATGGTTTGAATGATTTTGCCACTGTTTTGATTTAAAACAATTTTAAAGATGGAAAGAGAAAGATGGAAAAAAAGAGCCTGTAAATTGTAAATAGAAATATCAATAACTTATTATTTTAGGTTTCAAAATAAATTATTTTATACACTTTCTAGTAATCATTATTAATTCACACAGCCAAGACTATCAAACTTTGTATGTAGTGCCTTAAACAATTTCTTGAAAATAAAATCTATGTGTCATTGTAAAGTTATAAACATTAAGATTTAGGTTAGAAACTATCTTTTCTTTAATAAACAATTTTGTGTTAAATAATTTATTGTAGAAATGTTTAAGTGATTGTTTCTAATTGTTTTTAGGGGAAATAAAGACTAGTCCCTATTTAAGAGTAACAAGCATTTTTATTCCTTTCAAATATTATCTTTTAGGTGTTTTGATCTCATCTCATCAGAAATGAGATTCTATTGTTAGAATTCAATAAAAGAAATCCCTGTGAAATAAAACAGAAGTTTGGAAAAATCATAGAGAGATCCGTTTGGCACTCCCAATTTTCAAACAATTCAACATTCTTGGATAGAATGGCTTTCTATTCCATGGATGTTGCTATTGGGATTAATGTTAAGAATCAAATATTGAAACTTGCTGGGAATTCCTGCTGAGAACTTCCCAACAAATGCTAATTGACTGGTACTTGGCAAAATATATCTTCAGTTATAAACTTATACCAAAATATAGTTCTAAGGTATGCTATATTTATGGATAAAAGTGCTCAATATCAGAGATAATAGAGCCTATGCAAATATAAAAATGGACACTGAGAAAGCCTGAAGGTTGCATTGAAGCATGAGTCAGACTCTGTTGCTGCTTGGTGTTGACCTCAGTGTCCACACATGTATGTATGTATGTATCTCAATTATTATACTAAAATTCAAGTTTAACCTGTTTTCATAATTTAGTCTGAATATCTGAATCTCCAAATACTTTTTTGGGTACTTAATTACAATAAACAAATATGAAAATAATGTTTAAATGCTATTTTTTCACCTGTTTCTGGTGTACTGATTTGGAAATCCCTGAAATTATAAACATTTTCAATAACTTTCATGGAAAGAAAGCAAAAAGGTGTAATGAAGCTCCTGGTGGGAGTAGTGGGTGGATTGAGGGGGTGTTCAACAAGTACCAGAAAAGGGGAGCAAGCTCCTGAGTGCAGCAGCAAGAGTGCCATGAGAATTGAGGTTGGGTACAAGTGAGTCTCGTCTTGTGCTAGCATTGAAGTTGGCATTACTGGCATATGCAATGTGTCCTTTTCATTTCTCTCTATTAGAGAAATAATACAATGAAAAATAATATCTAAGTTTATCGCAAATGTAAAGACTAATTGTTACCCAACAGATCGGCTTCTTATTAACAGATAAAATAGGAATCACATTTCAGACGTACGTGTGTGCATGCATTCACATTCAAATAAAGATTTGTTTGTTGAGGATAGTTGTAAAAAGTGTATCAAGAAAGTGTTTTAAAATATTTCTGATTATTTTTTTTTTTTCGGTTATATATTCTAACTTCTTAAAAGGTTACAAATTTTTAGTCAAGTTTGGAATTTTTTTTTTAAATCATAAAGAAGCATGTACTCTTCTGCAAATATAAGCAAAATAGTAGCTGTATAGTAAGAACTTTTTCATTTAATTCCTCATATTGTTTTAGAAATCAAACCAATTCAATATGATTTGAAGAGAGAAATGTCTGCTGTTGCAGAAAGTAATATTTTAATGAGAATTTTAAAAAGTTTTGAAGTATTGGTTAGAATTGTTACAAGTGGCAATTTAGTTTGTAAATAATAAACAACATGCAAACTAAATCAACCATCAGATTTGAAGCCAAAATTTGGTCAAGTGTTCTACATTATCTTTCAGAATGCACTCATGCTAGCCATAGTTCCTAATGTCCAATTTTGGGTTCATATCTCACAAGCAGTTCATTTAGTTGGCATGTATTCATCTCTAGATATATAATTTGAGTCTGGAATTTTGATTTAAAAAAAATAAAATAAAATAAATTAAAAAAAAAAATGATGCAAATTATGAACTGACTTGCTATCTTTTAAAGAATTTATTATATTGAAACAGTAGCAGAGAATAAAAGGACAAGTACATTTGTATTTCTTTTATTCTTCCTAAACAGTAAAGAGTGGCAGCCATTTTACATTTGAGATGCTGCTGCTGCTGTTGAGGATGCTAATGTGTTATTTAAATGCTGATTAAGGGTTTTATATCTACTGACCACTTGTTCAACTTGGCCTGTACTATTCCGTCTATCTTCAAGCTTATTCTTCTTTTTCTGCCTTTCTCGGTACGAAAAACTCCTTTCCCTCGGAAAGGCGGATGGTTTGTGCTGAGGAGACGCCTTTTGGTTGGGGGCCAATTCTGACCTTTGATCTGCAACATGGCCATCATGATACGATGATGTTGATGATGTAGGATGGATTTCAATATCCTGACTGGCGTGCTCCTATTAATTTGGACAGATATAAATGATAACCGTATAATTGATGCAGACACAATTTTACAGAGTCTACAGAATTTCTCTTAACTTCTTAGTTGCTGAAAAGATATCAATGTGATAATGGCTAAAGAAAAAGTGAAAGTATTATTTGGGTTTTCATCAGTGTGCCCATGAAAAGGAGACAGAGAGAAAGAGGAGAAAAATAGTTTTAAAAATTTAGTTTTAAATCTCACATGCCAAATTAGGTGGAAAGGAGATTAAAAATTAGAAAAATTTATAGTTTAATATTTGGGATAAAAATGTAAATGAAATTTTTAAAACATTAGATATTATTTCTTCCTTTTGGTTTTTATACGTTGATAATAAAATAAGAAGCTGCAATGGCCAGTCACCAGATGATGTTTGATTGATAAAGAGAACAATCAGCTTCAATGGAAGAATTGAAAAACATCATATTAAAAGAAATAACTTAGTTACCTAAGAATGATCTCTAAGAAATAAATTGTTAATATGATTCATAAAAGACAGACTGACAAATTAGGAAGAAGAAGAAATGACTACATCAAACAAGTTTGCAATTTTTTATAGAGTAGCTATTGACCAGTCATTCAAATCTTGTATTCAATAAAAAGAAAATGTTTAGTTATGAATCAAGAATGATTTCCTTTGTTTCTAATTATTCATTTGTCATTCAAAAATTGTACATTGCTCTTGCTTGTTATATTCAGTTCATTTGTGAAAATCTGTCAGAAATGGTTTTCAAATATTATTCCAGATAGATTTTATACTTTATCTTTAATCAACATGGATAACATCAGAATAAGACAAAAAGCTTAAATGTCATCACACATTGAATCATTTCAGATACAGTTAATTTCTACTTTTCAATGAAAGCAGCTTTTTTCTCTGTATTTTTCATTTGGAATAGAAAATAGATAAATTTTATTAAAAGAAATGTTGTAACTTTTTAATTATGAGAGAAAAAATATTATAACTAAACAATTTAAGTCAAAATAAATTTAAGTAGGATTTTTTTTTTAAATTACAAAAATATACAATGCATAAATTTGTTACATCAGTGACATTCCTAGAGGAAGCCACATGATAAATATGTTCCACTTTAAATTAATGCTTAATAAACAAAGTTTTGTTTAAATTATGTGAATTATGAAATATGACATTAAAAAGTTCTCCACACATTTCCCTTTCCCAAATATTCATTACCTGCAAGTATATTTTTCAAAATTTGTTCCATAACTTCAAGTGAATATCTCATTAGTTGAACTATAAAATTGATGAGAAACAATAAAGAACTTCCCGTTATCAGAAATGTAGATATTTATACTCCAAATATAAACTATTCATAATTTTTGATTGATATTAGAATCCAATAATACAAGATCCTCATTCAATTTTTACTAGCAATTTTTCTTTATGCTGGACAAACAAAATTATTCTCTCAGGCTTTATTGCACTTTAACCACTAATAATCCAATATTCTAAAATTCATTTTAAGACATAAAAACAATAAATGCTCTGCTTGTATTGCAAGTTTTCTAATATTCATGTTTATTAAAGTTTTGCTGATGACAGCTGAATATTTATATTTTTAATTTATAACTACTTTCATTATGGCTGCTTAAGAGTTCTTCAGCAACACATTATGCTAAAACAAACGGTATTCTATAAGAAAATCTATAGAAATGGGGTTGAAAGGAACCATCATAAATGGTAAGCTATAGACACAGTTAAAATAGGCTTCCTTGTAATTTAGTCACACCATCTAAGTATATCATTTAATTAATAATGGCTTGGTGATATTCAGTAATTCTCAAATCTAAATAAGAACAATGTTATCTGGCTGTATAATACTTGATTAAGAAAAACCTATTTCTACAACATAGAAAGCTTCAAAGTTATAGCTTATATAGATTTATATATAACAGAGAAAATATTAAAGAGAATAGAAGAAAGACTACTATCAGTCAACAAGATCTGAAGCAATTGAAACCAAACTGTGTATAAGTGACTGAGACTGACCACTGGCTTCTTTATGTTTACCAACACAAGGGCAGAGGCCAACTGAAGGAAGACTGATAAAAGCATGCACTTGTTATTGACTGAAAATCTGTCCTTTTATTTAAATATAAAGCATGCTTATTTATGGTAAGTAGTCATGTAAAGGAATTCATGCTCTCTCTCTATGTGTGTGTGTGTGTGTGTGTATTATGAGGACCTCATATCCAAAATTGAACATAACATAAAAAAGGAAATTCATTTAAAATAAAATCTTGATCATTAACAAATAAACATTTTATTAACAGGATATAGAAATTGAATTAAGACAAAAATAAAAAAATAGTGAGGTATGATTAGTATTCAACCCAATATGAAAATAATTTTTGGCACATTGTAATGTCAATGTTTATTGCATTTGATATAGATTAACAAAAGGGTAACATTAAATTTTATAAATAATGATTGATTGGAATTAGGCAGTTTTTATGAACCTTGAGTACAAATCAATTATTTCCTGCATTTCAATGTGATTATAAAAATAAGGTAAAAGGAAAACATTTTGACTAGAACAATTTTTAAATATGCCCCAAATCTTTATTTGGTTCTAAGGCTGATAGATTTACAGAGACAGCTCACATGAAGTTCAATCTTTCATTGATTAGAAGTTGGGTTTTATTCAAGGCAAACTATAGCTTTACAATTGCTACAGATTATAAAAATACACAGCACTTTGTAGAGGACAAAGAGAAGAACTTTGATCAATCAAATTGTTGATATTTTTTTTTTTTTTTAAATTTAACAGTAGAAAATTCACAGTTTTAATGCCAGATTAATAAGAACATTTTTAACGATTCTGATTTTTTATTTTCAGTTTTTGGTAATTTATTAAAATATTTTGATAATTAAAAGAATATATTTCAATGGGACACCAAAACCATAATTTTCAATGTTAATTGCTAGCTACTGACCATCTGATTACTCTTTTCTCTTTCTGCTCATCATTAATGTTTCTGTTCCTAATTCTCCCACAACCTTAATCCCTTGTGTTTTAATGACATTACTGCCTTGCTTGGAGCGATCATTATGATATATATAAAAAAAAAAAAACCCCAAAAAACCCCCCCAAAAAAAACAGACATTCACTTACAATTAAATTGAAAGAGGAATCAGTTTGTAAATGATTGTTTTTGTTTAAATCTTATAATTTCCAATTTCAATTGTATAGATCTGCTTGGCTATATTGCCAAGAGTACACACATAAAAGTAGGAACAAAAAACTAATTTTGCTAGCAATCTTTCATGTCATACTTAAAGGAATTCATTTGCTACAGTTTTAGCCTGCTTCCATGGTTTTCATTTCTGTGATAGAGTGAGAAAAATCTAAGACTTGGGATTATTACTTCAATATATAAATTTTCTAAGAGTAAAATTAAGAGAATATAAATTCTTTCTTTTGATTTTTCAATCAACTTATGAAATTAAAATGTATATGTAAACATATTTATATTACAAGACATTTTTTCAAACATTTCTAAAAGAAATTTTTCAAAAAGAAATGGCTGACGACATATTTAACAAAAACAAATCATATAAAAAGGATTTTTGTTATGAACCCCTTTTCTAGAATCAAGAAAAAAATAAAAACACTGAAATATCTATTAATAAATATCAACTGAAGTCATTATCAGAAGTATTTTCAAGAAGTGGTCTAAGGCAAAATGATTTTTATAAATAGGTTTAGAGATTGTAATTTATATCAGAGAATTTTAATAAAAGTAAAATATCCTCTTGATTAATTCAAAAGCTATTGAATGATTTGTGAAGTGAAGCAGCTTAATTTTAGAGTTATTAATAACAAAAAATCAATTCTTATGCAAACTTTAAGATGAAATATGATCTAATCACTGTTTTGGGGCCAGCATGTGAGTCTTTGTTGCTTGTACATTATGGAGGTTAAAGAATGTGTAAGAGTTGAAAAGGGATAAAAACCCGACAAATATGCAAATCACATCCTGAAGCACTACACTTTCCAAATTGTAATGTTTGGCCTTGAGATTAACAAAGATATCTACTGCCATAGATAAGAAACTACTGAATTTATATTTCCTTTGTTGCTAAGACTAGCAAAGATGCCAGAACAGATAGATGGCATTTCTCTAATAGAAAAAGAATACAGCAAAACTAAAGAGCAGTAAAATGCAGTTAAAAGGTCAAAAGGGGACTCATTGTGAATGCAAGTGCAGTGGGGTGGGGTGGGGTGAGGTAATGGGTGATTGAAGGCCAGCAAGGGCGTGTAAGCGTGATATGCTTTCCTCCCACTTTCTGTTTTCATTTCATCCTTTTTTTTTTTTTAGGACTTCTGGTAGCAAATCAAATAATGGCCAGTAAATCAAGAGATATGTATACTGTGATAGAAATTCTATAATTGTGTTCATTGAGTAGAATGTAATTAGTGCAAATTAATACCAAAAACATTGCCCATGTTGCAATAGAGGCTGGATTAGGATTAGGTGCTAGTTGATATGAAAAAAAGTATAACCCAAATACCAAGCACCTTGATATAAGAGATATAATTTGAAAAAATTTAACATAAACCTGAATACTGAATAAAAATTAACAAGCTAACAAGATGGAATTAAAAAAATACAAAAATAAAATCTACAGTTTTAAAAAAAAAAATACTCTACATGAAAATGTTTGAGAAAAACTAAATATTTTTTAAATTCATTTCTAATTAAGACAGTCATACATCTTCTGATAATGAGTAAACATTAAACTTATTATGCATTTTTTCTTAATAAAATGTAAAAAAAAAAATTTGAGTGGTTTTAGCATTAACAATGATTTAAAATATTTCACTAATTTTTCTAACAAATGTGATTTTTAGCATATTATCATCGCCATGGGTCATGTGAGGAACTATATATATATATATATATATATATATATATATATATATATATATGTATGTGTGTGTGTGTGTGTGTGTGTGTGTGTGTGTGTAAAAATTTAGATATAACTAAAAAAATATATCTGTAAGAGGACAATATGAATAAAGAATAATTATATAAAAAAGATTCAACAACAGTCAGTTATTTTTGTTTATTAGTCATTAAATTACATCACTTAGCATCTTCCATAATTTACCTTGACTTTCAGGTTGCATAATGTATATTTATGAGCATTCTTTAATTTAAAAATTCTGGAAAACTAACAACATTTTTACTTCTGTGTATAAATGCTTGTTGCAAAATAAAATCCTTACATTTGCCTTGATAAAGGACAAAACAGATCAGCTAAGATAGGTTTTTCCTTATTGTGATACTAGATAAGAAAGGCATCAATTCTTATTGTCTTTCCTAAAGTTGATATTAATTACTGGAATAATAATTCATTTTTACCATGTATATAAATTCACACATTAAATATTAAAAATTGATCATTAAAATGCTATCAATAGTGCTTGGCTCAATTGTTAAAAAATTGTCTTAATCTACAGGATTAGGACAGGGTTTTTTTTGTTTTTTTTTTTACTTTACTTTCTCTAGAACTGAGACCATTACAATGATATCATGATATTTAAAGTGATTATTTTATGTAACATACTAAAACAAGACTATTCTTTTATTACCTTGCATAAAATTGTAGTCACAAAGAATATATTCATGCTAATATCACAGAAGTGCATAAAATTTAAAAATTAAATATAGGCAATTAAATGATGATGTACTAAATTTGGAATCTAATGAAAGATAAAGATTAAAATTTTTTTAAAAATCTTTATATTGCAAAAATAAAATTAAACTAGGAAATAGACTGAAGTTAATAAACTGATAAAATGTTTTTTGCTTTAGAAATAATAAACATTTCTTGAAAGACAAATTCTGAACTTTTCTCCTCATAGATCAAATCCATGCTGATTTCAAAAGGTTTAGCTAATTCTGTTATCTTTTTCTTATTTCTTAGAATCAAATTTAATATTTATCAACTATACACTTCTCAATTATTTAAAAAAATAAGTGAAACTCATTTTGAGAGCATTGTATCTTGAAGTGGATCTATTATTATCAATGTAAATACATCAAAATGTGTTTATTCATCAGCTTGTTAATTTATTTCTAAAGCTAGAGTATTCATTATAAAACATTACAGATTGAGATGAGACTTCTACAGAAAATTTTAACCAATAATAATATTGTCACCTATTTTTGTTCCCCATTTCCATGTGGATAAATTCTTCAGGCAGTGTCAAGAATTCTTCTCCCCATTTGCAACTAATGGATAAGCTCATTGCATCTTATCAATAAAGGATATTCATTTGTCATGTAGTCTGTTGTTTGTGCAAAGTTGATGATCATAACAGAATCTATAACTAATGATTAGATTTCATTCAACTGTCAAAGAGGTTGAACAGTCATAGCAGTCAGCGAAAATAACACAAAAGTCTTGATATCAATAAAGTGTGGTTCTATAAAAGAACTTAATACACTGAAATGAAATTGAAATAAAACCATCTGAAACCTAACCTTGAGAAAAAGAGAAACAAATTATGGCTTGAAATTCTCAGTATTAAACATCAAATGCAAATTGTATAAAGAATTGAAGAGATTGTTGCTGTTGTGACAAATAGATTTATATAAATCAAATCAAGCTGTAAAGGCAATATCAAAAAATTAAAAAATGTAGTGTATTTGACTACGAACATCATAAAACATTATTTAAAATAATTGATATTTTTATAACATTTAAATTATTCAAGTTGAAATTATTTTAATTTAAAAATATATAAAAAGGTAAATTTACACTATTCAGTCTGTTCTCCTCATTTTTACTGTTTCGCATTCTGGCCTTCTTCAGGTGATATATGTTGAAATTTTCAAACTGAACCATTTATTTAGTCCACGGGGGTAGAGCGTTCTAGTTCCACACACCATGCCTTTTCTGGATATCTCATTTTCAGTTACTCCCTTTCAGTAACTCTCCAAATTTTTATTCACCTCTGCTGTGGCTAGGTATTGAACTCACAAGTCTTTGGGTCAAGTCACTGGATCACTTCAACCAACGCTTTTATCCACTGGACCATGTGTCATGGTTTGAAATTCCAACATATATCACCTGAAGAAGGCTCAAATGTACAATGGCCGAAACATTGTGAACATGACAATAAAGATGAGGACAAAAGTCCAAATAATGTAAACAGTGTAAATAGTTACAATACCTTATCTCAGAAATATAGACAGATGTTAAAGGTAAATTTATCCAATATGCTATGAACATTATTAAGAAGTTGTTTTAATACATTCACAAAATCACTTTGAATATGAAAATATTTAAAAAAACAATTCAAACAAAGCAACAACAAAAAAAAAAAACAAAAAAAAAAACATGAAATTTACATGCAATGAGAGAAAAATATAGACAAAGTAAAAACATACCATGATGGAAATGGTTGAAACAAAAAACAAAATTGTTTAAAAAATTCAATTTTTTTTTAAGTGACAAAAAAAAAAAAATCACACACACAAAAAAAAGAAATGTGGTGTGTCTGTGAGCGTGTGTGTGTGTTAGGTTTTTTTTTCTAGTTTTTCTACAGTGTATGAATTGTTAATAAGTTATACTGTTAAAAAGACCAACTACAGAGGCTGATAATGTGAGAAGTGCTGCCTGGTGTTGGAAATTAAAGAGCAAAGCACCTGAACAACAAAGACAGGTGAAAAAAAAGTGAGCTATTCAGAAAAATGCTGAAGAGGTATAGAGAAGTAAAGAGAGAATGAGGAAAGAGAAATTTAAATTGGAGGATCAATATGAATTATTTGATTGAATTTAAAAACAGTAAAATGAGCCATGCATTCCAATTACTGTAAGTTAGTTTTTAATAAGATGAATTGTTGACATAATTATTTACAATTGCCTAACATACCAACATTATTGAAATATAAAACTTTCATGCATTGTTCATAAAGTTAATACAAATGTTTAACAAAATCAAAATATATTTTACCCATTTGCTATTAATATACATGTCAGTGTTTATGTAATATACAAAAAAGTGTTTATTTTATGGCTGAAAATGTAATTCAAGTTTCTGTTAATTTGTTTTAGTTTGAACTTTTAATTAAAAATAAAAGCATATAAAAAACTTTAAAGTAGAGGAAAAATTCTTAAGAAAACAAAAAAATAATAATCACCCACATAGAGATTTTAACAATAAAATATGAAACAAAACTTAATTTAATATTCCACCAAGAATTGCCAACTTCGAAATAAGCTATTTATACTATTTATATTGTTTGAACTGTTGCCCTCATCTGTATTGTCATATTCATGATGTTTTGGCCATTCTACAGTCCGGCCTTCTTCAGGTAATATCTGGAGTGTACAACAGCCAAAATGTTGTGCACATGACAATAAAGATGAGGCCAACAGCCCGAACAATGTAAATAGTATAAATAGTTACAATACCTCATCTCAGAAATATAGACAGATATTCAAAATGAACATTTGAAGTTATGAAACTAATTACTATTAGTTTTATAACTTCAAATGTTTATTTTGTTTGGTTTCAACTGAAACTTGATTATGTAACCATGCATTTACAAAACAAAATCACTTTTCTAAGCACCTCCAAAAATAAAAGAAAATGTGCAAATGAATAAAAATTAAAGATGTCAATAACTGCAAAAGTAAAAAAAATAAAAAAATACTAAATTGCTGTTGACAAATATAAATCTTTACTTTAAGCTGCACAATTTTTAGGATTAAATATTTTGCTGTAAACAAATACTTACCTGGCCCATGCTGGGTAGGGCTTATCATCTCTAAGTTATGGGTCTGTCTTCGGGCAGAGTGTGACTCAGTTGTATCTCTGTCTGCGGACAGAGATGCAGCTGAGATAAACAAAATACTGAGAGGTGCCTGGTCCCAGGGAACAGCTGTTTGTGGCTGTATCCCCCTCATTGCACTAGAGAGGAGTGTTCAGTAGTCATACTGATGCCAGTGCAACTGATGGTTGCAGGAGCTGGACAATTTTGAGCCTTGGCCCAGTTGTATGCGCTCAGGTTTCCTATACTAAATTCGACTATGTCACATCACGTCTCAGTGGGGAGATAGTAAATATATTTTTCTGTAGACCGCATAATAGGCAAGTAAAATGAAATTTATTTTAAATAGGTATTTATTCACTTGTTGATATATTACTGCTCACTAATTGGTATGTTGCAACTACAATAACCAATTATTACTTCCAACAGTTTGAGAACAAACATGGATTAGTAGTCCAAGCAAAGCAATTCAACACATACTCCCTCATCCAATATGGAAATCTAAAAATCAATATATAAAAGCCCAAAGTTAACTTACAAACAACTCACTCCTAATAAGAAAGGATTCATTACAAAACTTATGACCCTGGATCTAATTTACTACAATAAAAAATAAGACACATTGTCCAAGAATGATACCCACCCCTGCCCCTAAAAATGGAAGAAATTATAATATATGCCCCAATTTCTTCCAGTTTTTGTTATAAGAATATATCTAAAACACAAATTAAAAGTTCAAAATAAAAACTATAACAGAATAAAATAGAGAGTTGAATTTTTTTTCACATATATATTAGGCAAATAGTAAAATAGAAAAATTTATAATTATAAAAGCACTAGTGAGAGATGACGGAAGAGGTTAGTTTCAAATTCAAGGAATATTCAGGTTGAGAACATTTAAAAGAATAAGAAAAATGAGAAATAAATTTAGAAGCTTTTTCTTTTTAATTTTATTTATAGCAAAATTGAAATAACTTCCCAAATGGAAATGCAAGATTTAAAAAAGTGCAAGCAAATGGTTTAAAAACTTTCAGAGCCTCAGGACAGCACATACCGCATGACTGTCCGAATCGGTTCTCTTCAAGTTGTCGTCAGTAACACATTTCACGGGACTGCCCTGTTAATAAATGGAATTCAAAGACAACAAAATTATTCCCAAGATTTCAAATAGAATGCAATGAAAGGAGGTAGAGAGCAGATACCTACCAATGTAGGAATAAAACTTATTCAAACAGCACTCAAGGTAAACTGGCTCAAATTCCTTATGTGTTGAGAGTAAATTGATAAAACAGGAAAGAAGGTTAATGATGGAGACATACCAACATAAGCAGATAGGACAAAGAACAGAGCAAAGTGACTGCCTTACAAGCTGAGAGATTGGGGAATAAATAACAGTATAAATAGAAAATTTTACAAAGACAAATATTTGCTATGATCTAGCATAAAGATATAGAATAGAGATTGAAAATGATTACTTTGAATGTATTTAATAAGGGACAAGGCAATAGAGGGAAGTCACCAACTGGGGAATAAGGTTAAAGAGAATATCTTACTACATTATAGAACAATAAGAGCTGAAAAAACAGGGAAGGAGCTTAGGAAAAAAAAAAACAACAAACTGAAAAGAAAACAACTGAGAATAACAACTATCTCTCGTGTCATGTCAATTTAGAAAATGAAATTTAAAAAAAAAAAAACATTATTAAATCATCAGAATGGTCAATTTTTTTTGTTTTTAAGTATATTTTAATCATTACTGAATAAAGATTATTTAATTATTATTTTTTTAATATGCAATAAAAAAACACAAAATTAAAACTGATATAAAAAATGATAGAAAAGTGAAATGAAAAACTGCATTTACATTAAGACAAAACCTTTGACTGAACATGTCTCTGCGAAATAACATTACTTATGTTTGGTATATACAGGATATGGCAGAAATATCTTCCATATATACTTCACACATGATGGTAAGTCATTAGTATGATGAAGACGCCATTGCCATTAATGCTTTACTATTATGTAGGAGGTATTTCTGGTGCACTATGTAGAAACCCAGAAAAAGGTTAATTTAAATTAAAATATGTGTACATACTGTTGCAGGAATATTTACAGAAAAAAAAGAAACAAAAAACAGTACTTAGAGGTATAAGAAATAGTTTATTATTATATTAAAAATGGCTTCAAGCTCAGACATCATGACTACTAATTCATTTGAGTTGATTATTTGTATATCTCTCATTCAGTCTACAGAAATACACTGTCCTTAAGACATGTCTTTTGTCAGCAGCAAAATGTAATAATTGGTAATTTTTGTTCATACAAAAAGGAAATGATAAATTCAGATATGGATGAAGGGAATAAACTCTTGTCAAAATAAAATAGGATTGTGATTGCTTAGACCATTTTTATTTTGACATTATCTTAACTTTTGCAATTGATAAACTATGGGTTTCAGTTTAAGTAATCAAACATTACATTGAACACAATCAATTCAAAATGTTAATGAAAATATTGAGATTTAAAAAAAAAAGTGTTAACATGAGCAAAATCTATTAAAATGATATTCTTTGTTAAATAAGTATTGGCTTTTTATTTTAACTTATAATTGACATTATTGTAATATTTAGATACAAAATCAGTTCAATTGGCTTGGATAAGTAACATTGGTTTTCATATAAGAAGCAAATTTAAGCAAGACCCTATTTTGTGACTATATTAGAAATCAATATATTTAAAAATGTTCTTAATTAAAAAAATTGCTAAAAAAACCCAAAAATGCTTATTTAATTTACCATATTTTAGAGCATTGATAAAATCATTCTGTACCCATCAACGGGGTAAATAAACCATTCTGTAGCCATTGAAAAGGTAAATAATGTCAACATTCATATAAATATGAGTCAATGCATCTTAATTAGTAAATCAATTTTAATAAATGATATATGAAAGAAAATCATTTTCTAATAGATTAAAATTACAGCATTTTGTAATGTGACAATATTTTTTTAAGAAAAAGTAAACTTAGTAAAAAGTAAGCTTAGTAAAAGCAAACTGTATTCAAATCAGTTCTAATTGATTTATGTTAACACTAGAATTTTTTTTGCAACATGATGACGCTTGTTGAAATCCTCACAATATTTAGTATTGTTGAAGTTATTGCTAACATTTTTTGTTGAGATTTACAAACTCTACATTTCGTTCAATTACACAGACCAATCAATGAAATACAAAAACTTAAAGATATGCAAAACAAGAAAAAAAAAAAACAAATAAAAAAAAAAAATTGCATTTTTATTAAATAAGTATTTGTTATTTTAATCATCAAATTGTTTTTAAAATACTGGGAGTATTTTGTATGTTAAATAATAAAACATTTAACTTTCCTAAAAAGCTTAATGAAAATTTATTGTACTAAGTTATGCATGCTAGTAAAACTAAATGTACTTTGTATCCCGTTACCTGTTTGCACATCTCCCCTACAATTTAGTTTCAATCAGTCAATGTATGGCTATTTTAGAGGGTGTGATGGACGAAAGTCAGAGAATTTTATATATAGATTTGTATCAATTTCTTCTTTCAGTCTTTTCTTTCAAAAAACTCATAACACAAATCTTCTTCCAATACCTGTTTGTGCTTTTATCTATAACAAAGCAAAGAGCAAAAAGAAATTCAATTTTTATCACAAATTTGATTTCTGAGCTTGTTATAGACGCTGAGAGACATTGCCCCTAAAAGAGGGTGAGAGAAAATACAAATAAAAAAAAAAACAAAGAATGGAACAAATTTCTCAAAAGTTGACATTTGATTGACTAATTTACTTTTAACTCTAATTCTAGACATTTTCCAGTTATCATTTGCTTGCATTTTTAAAACTTCATATATATCACACACATGCTTCTGATGAAAATAAGTCAACAGCAAAATATCTTTTCATATCAAACAAGGAAAAACAAATGGTGTGTGTGTGTGTGTGGAGGAGGAAGAAACAAATGAAGTTCGTAACACAAAGAGCTACAAACATTGACTAACCAGCAAGGCATCAGACAGCATAAAAGCTGATTACTATGGTTACCATTGCAATGCACACGCACATGCGTGTGCATGTACACACACATATGCAACAACACAGATCACTACAACAATCTCTAATGATGAGGCCAGTCATATGAGACTTGAGAATAAATGACACCAATTTTGGCATGCTTGGATTGTTCTGTCCCAGAAAGTAATAAAGAAAAGCTCACCTGCAATACATGGTAACAGAATATGAAGAGAAGGAAGAGGGAAGGAGAAAATCAACAAAATGGAAAGTTAGTTGGCATAAAATGAAATAAAACATTGATAAGTCAATAATGAGAAGAGGACTTTCTTTTGAATGGTTAAATGCAAAATTAATACTTTCTGTAAATACCAGTAAAGCTAAATAAATTTCATACAATGATATTTTAACACAATGTATACTTATCTACTAAATATGCAAAAAAATAGTTTCTTAGAAAATTATTAAATAACAGATAGTCATATAATGTATGTTTCAACAATACTTGATCTCCATTTGTAAAAGCCATGACAAATTTGTCAAGTTCTAATCATCATAATACAGCACAAAATGGGAACATTCTTTATTTCCATCAGTTTTGAAGAAATTGAGAAACAATTTCAATTTATCTTGAAAGTTTCTTTCTTATTAATGACAACTTATGCAAAATTTTATAAATAACCACTAAATAATTCCAAATTTATTCTAATTTTTGCTATACTTTGTGAATATTTTTACTTACAGAAAAAATGAAATTAATTCAACAGTGGTATATACCAATTTTCATGTTAATGTACTAATTTGCATTTCTTTAAAATTGATAATCTTAATTTTTCCAAAATTTCTCAAAGGTCCATAATTTCCAAGAGCCAAAATTTCTTGCAAGACAATATGAAACTTCAATCATTACAGTTGTGTCATTGAAATCAACACTTGTCCCCTGATAGATGGGTTTGTTTTTAAAGTACATTATTAAAAATAATATCCTTGATTACAAAAATTATTACTTTATTAATCATTTAACTTATAATTCTTTTAAAGACAAATGTTAATTATAGTTCCCAATTATATTGAGGATTTTAATGTCTTCTGAATATTTGTTCAGTTTTGTAAACAGATTTTTAACATTTAAGCCAAATATTTAAGCACCTTGACTTACTTAAAAACAATGACTGTGTTGAATTAGTGTTTTTTTGTTTTTTTTAAGACATAAGAAATATTTGTGAATTCAGCTCAGAATCTGACACTTTTATTTGGAATTCTGAAAAGCAAAAAAAGGTTGGGCATCCCAGAAAGGACAAAAAAGATTTTTAAAATGACAATTGATTTTGAACAATACAATGTATGAATAAAAGTATCCTAGGGGAAGAGATATTCAATAAATAGAAAACCTCCAAGTATAAATACTTAAAAATGTGAGTTAATGCAAATCTTTTGTTCTATTTTACAATGGTAATAATATTTGAAGATTTGTCAAGAAACTTTTGTTCACATAAGACAGAAGTAAAAGATTTTTCAAAAATTTAAGATAGCAAATAAATGGCAGATATTACTGGGGAAGGAAAATGGCAGAATTGTCCTTGAATTCAGAAACATTTTTTCATTATGTCTTGTAAATAATGAGTAGAAAACTTGGGTTATGAAGATTTAATCTGGATTTTTTTTTCTTTCAAGAGAAAAAAAAATACTTGAATATTTAGATAATATGTACATTTTTAAAATGAATTAAAGAAAAAAAAAAGATTAAAAAAAAACACAAAAAGAAATAAAAATTACCTTTGGCACATCAGAAATTTCATTGAAATTACTTCTAGCAGTAAAGAACGGTCTGAAAAAGAAACAGAATCATAGAAAAATCAAAAAGATCTGAACGAAAGCCACAGTCAAACAAATATAAAAAGAAAAAGAAACAAAAATTCTCAGATATCATTTGGCTTCTTGCTGGTTTTGTGCATGATAAGACTTGTTAAGACATCAAGAAGTGATCTTGTCGCAATTTTTATTTAGATGCTTGAGGAACAAATTGCACCAAGGTGAAGGTCAGATGATTTCAGATAAAAGGCAAGTATTCAAAATTTAGATTTTTTCCTTTTAAAAAGATTGACTGTCGTAAATCAATACATCAACTCTAATGAGGTATTTTCTTTTCAAAAAGAGTAGCAAGATAGGAAGCTAAGCATACAAGCAAAGTTATTTTTATCTTTAAACTTCAGATCATATTATGAACAATCTCATGCACATAAATGCTGAAACAGCTAAGTGGTTAGAGTAATTGGCTTTGAAGTGATGAGGTTATATCTATGGCTCACTATCTAGCAAGGATCTTTACCAAGCAGCTCTTAAAGGCAAAAGAAACTGACTCAATAAACAAGATAGGGAGGTTTCCTTTTTAGTTAGAAACTAAAGTAAAATATTCTAATATATTCATAAAAAGCACATTAATATAGAGTAAACTGGTTTTTAAAATGACAATCAATGAACAGATAGCGTAATTAGAAGAAATTAATTTCTGCTTCTGCTATAAGGCCTAAATATATAAATACAAGGAGTGCAGTGAGTTTTGAATCAAAAAGTAGAGATATCTTACTTTAAGACAAAAACATCTCAAATAGACAAAATCACAATAAATATTCTTTCAGATTTATATAATTGGATATATTTTATAAATATAAATGGTTATAAGGAAATTAAGATTTAAAAGCTCAAGACCTACATCTAAAGCCAATTACAATCATTCAAGAAAAATATGTAAAGAGGTACTGAAAATTTCTTGGTGTAACCCACTTCACTAAAAAATCAATATTCTGATGTTTGCTCCTTGAAATAATGATTTGGGAAGTGCTCAAGACAATCATTTTTCAGCACCCCCTTGCAAATCAAGTTAACTACAATGCCTTCTTTAAAAAAAATGATTACAAAAAGTAATATTTAATCATGATTTAGAATCATTTAATAACTTTTAAATAAAGTTTAAATTTAGAAGAAAAAAAAAGGTTATATTGCAGATAACAAAAAATTATTTGTTATTTAATAAGGAGAATAGAAAAAGGAAATGTATTTAATTCAATCATTTTGAATATATTTTTTTTAAAAGTTTAAAAATAAAATTTCCACACATTTAAGTAAAAAAAAAAAAAAAAAAAAAAAAAACCTCTGTAAACTTTGGAACATGCTTCTTAAAATATTGAAGCAACCTATTTGGAGTTTAATTTATTATTTCAGTGCTACTTTATTGAATAAATTGTTAATTATGTCTTAATTCTGCTGACCTCCAGATGCCATGAACAGCTAGTAATTGGCTACACTACATACAATCTAAAAATATTCTATAACATGATGATGTCAATTAACCTGATCCCCCAATTGTGAAGTTTCAATAACATGCAAGGAAACAAGTTTGATTTAATTTAAATAGATACAGACATTTTGAATGCTTTTCATTAAAGATACTAATATTTAGGAATAACACATTTATAAGTAAACAAATAAAGCAATAAGTAATTATGGGTTACAAAAGAGTTCACTATTTACATTATTCGGACCATTGTCCTCATCTTTGTTGCCATATTTATCACAAAATTTTGGTTGTTGTATGCTCCACCCTGCTTCAGGTGGTTGGAATGTCGAACTGAACCCTTTATTTCGCTCGCTGGGGTAGACTGTTCACGTTCCACATACCATGTCTAATGGATGTCAGTTATCAGTTATCTCCTGTTAATTCCCCTCTCCAAGTTCTCCACCACCTTAACCAGGTATTGAACTCACACTCTTTGGGTCCTGTCACTGGATCTAACTAACGCCTTTATCCACTGTGCTGAAACGTTGTGATATGGCAACAAATATGAGGACAATAGTCCAAATAATGTAAATAGTGCACATAATACCTCATCTCCGAAATATAGACAGATACAAAAAAAGTTGTAACATATTTATGGGCATGTGTATGATTTTTTTTTTGTTTTTACACAAATATTTTTTAATAAACAATACTAAAAAGTTCAGTGACATATGATCATGTACCCTAGAATCTTAGCTTGAAACTGACATCCAATTTAAATTTCTCTATCAAGAAAAAAGTGAAAAATAAACCTTTGGAATTAAATATATTTTTAGGTCAATACATTATGAGAACAAAAACAATCAGAGGTATTTATTAAAAGATGTAGTCACTGAAAAATTCTAAAATTGTTACTCTTTATCTAGTAGTTATAAAACATGCAATAATGTCAAATAAGGTAAGAGTCTTATCTACAAGCACATATGCACTTCTCAGTTAAAAAGCTCATTTGTTTGCTAATACTAAGTGGTTTTAGACATTATTATATGCCTTTCTATTCTGACTAATATACTCAGGTTGGTTGTTAAACTCACTCTTCAGCTGTTTTGCTCTTCAGTCTTCTTCAGATGTCTGAAAAAAATGGGTGAAGGAAAACTGAAAAGCTGTAATTCAGGAAGAGACATTGAAATCAGGCATGGCTGATCATGTATGGAAAAAAATGGGGATCATCAACCCCAGCAGAATTAAATAATAGAGAAGACAACAGTGGAGGATAAGACAACAAAGACTCAGTGCTCATGTTAGGCTCTGACAACGTCCTCTTTAGAACTAGTATAGAAATGAACATCATCAGGGAGTCTTTTTAGAGGGTGCCTGGTCTCACCCCTGTATTCCTTGCCACAACTAAATAAAATGGAATACACACAGTTCTTGGACTTGTTCTCTTCTCAGAGAAGCTTGATTTGGTGGAGATAATATCTCTGAAGGACTAAACTGTTTTTGAGTACTCCCTTGATGTTGTATAGACTCTATAGAGATTCTTTGAACTTTTTTCTGATCTACTTCTTATGTATGGTAAACAAACTGGGGTAGGTTTTTGTTTGTTGTCCTGACTCTTCTGTCATGAAGAAATAGGGACAACAGACACAAAAGTCAAATAGACTAAAGAGATTTAAGCAATAGAAAATATCCTCTAAACATGGAAAGTGTAATGAAACAATCTACCCTTGCGGTTTGAATAAAAGGGTTGTATTCAAAATTCTGAGATGGTTACCAAGTACAACAGACACCTGAAGGTGGCCAGAGTGTATAACAGCTGAAATATTGTGAGTATAGCAATGAATATGAATAAGAATACTGGCCCAAATAGAAAGGCATATAAAAATAATTCATCTTGAAAATTCTGACATGAGTTTTAAGCTTATTAAACAAAAGCTTAAATATGTCTCAATATTGATCTGTATTTAATCCTTGTATATCCTTGAATGATAAATCATATGCAGTGTGTTTTGTGTCTGATTCTTAAAGCATCATCAGCTTTATACGTTTTCCAATCATCAAAATATTCTGTTTTAACAAATCCAGACATGTTTGGCTAGCAGCACACAATCAGTTTATTTTGCATTTACCAAATTTTCATATTTTAAGATCAAGGAACCATCTGAATACAGCATGCTACAATAAAACTTTTTTGTCTATATAGTAACTGCTATGAAGATTCTTGAAGTAATAAGGGTAATGAAGTTCATTTCCAATGTTTGATACTTCCAATGTGAGCCTTAGCCTTCTTTCTATGTACTTTCTTGGGCACTGATGTACTTTCCATTGTGATAAAAATCGAACTCATTATGAACTTATTCTTCAGAAAATTCTTTGGCTTTACTTTTCAGCATTGGGTCACTGATGCATATACTCGACTAAAATAGAAAACCACTTCTTTCCAGCAAGATTGTTACCATTTTTCTACTATTTTTGTGAAATTCCAGATTACCAACATTTCTACTGTCAAGTGGTTGGCTTTCCATCTTGTTCAGGAATTAAGTTTTTCAACACAAGCCACATTTTTATCTGCCATCCTGCTTGCAGACTCACTAAATAATGTTTGGTTCCTACAAGCACTGCTTATTTCACTCACTGGGGATGTGCACAAGAGCAAATATGGCAGGACACAAACAAACACACACATATATATACATGCACACATGCTGAGAGAGAAGAGACACACATGCAAAGTCACTCAGAAAGAAAGAGATACATATACATGCAAACTCACAAGAAGAAAGAGACACTATGCAAAAAAAACTATAAAAAAAAAACAAAAAAAAAACTGCCAACAAGCAACAGCTGTAATATTTTGACAAACATCTTAGCAGAGGTCCAAATTTTGCATGAAGCCAAACCAACGATATGAGGTGTTGGCAACAGCCAGAATGTTTTCAAAACAAGCATGGAAACATCAGAAAGAGAAAGATTGAAAGAGAGTATATGCAAAGAAAATAGCATGGCCAGAAATAACAATAGAGTTACACTAATAGAGTTAAAGTAATTCTACTTTTGTAAGATTAACATTCCTTCAGGCAAAGTAGAAAGTAAAGCAATAGGAAGAAACTATAATTAATCATTCATCTGCAATAATGTTCAGTTGTTAGTCTGCTGTATCAATTGCTTTATAAACCTTATATCAAACGACTCGTTATAAAATAGCCACTGGCTAAACAATAATAATGCTAGACTGGTATGTTAGTATGAATAAGTATTTTTACATTTATAGGTATTCTATAGAACTTGATAAGCCTCTGAAATTTTCTGATAATATAATATAGTTATCACTGTGACCACTTTGGTAAAATGATCAAATATTTATCAAAAGGATAAAGAACAATAGTATTTAACAGGTGACACACAGAGTCTATTAGCTGTATGCATAGGTATTCCTTTCCTTGAACCATATATTGTTAATAGGAGACTGTGATCTGTTTGCAACCTTAAATTTCTTCCATGAATAAATTTATGAAATTTCTTAACAGCAAATATAATTGCTAAAGCCTCTT